ATGGTAATACCTGGTTACAAAAAATACTAACAAAGTGAAATCAATAAAAATAAATAAAAAGCATGCCACAGGCAATAGAGTTAATCAAAACGGTAGCATGCGCACTAAACATTCCCAGTTTAGTTTTTTAAACATCTCTTCTCCAAACTGTCTTTAAAGTGCTTCTCTCCCCTCATTACCATGCATGTATTGACCTTGCAAAGCCAGTGTCTCCTGCAATCATAGGGGCCAAGGGGAGATTAATTAGAGACCTTGGTGCTCCTGTGACAGGCAAAGCAAACAGCCTCTCGCTCAGCCTGTAATTTATGTAATGCCTCCTTTACTGTGGATATCAGAAATGGCCTTTTTTTGGTCGATACTCTGGCGCTGGGTGGTAATGATGCTTCAGTCTGCTCTCCTGCCTTTTCTGGACTATTCTGGGAGAGTGGAGGAGAGAAAATAGGATGTTTTTGTACTGTAACATCAAACAAAGAGTTTCAGAGTACGTTCAAGCCCGGCAGAGTTTAGAGGCGTGCAGTGCATGTGAACTATTGTGCTCGTTTTTGTCTTGGTTCTTTGTTAATGTTGAAAGCCCGAAGCCTTTAGAGACAAAACTCTTGTCACATTATCCGGTCGATCTTCAGTGTGATTGAGGACTGTCATGGTGTTTGGCAAATTGTTGGGTCAGACCCGACCCGAGTAGCAGTGCAATTGTACTGCCAGCCTGATGTGTAATTGCTTGTTTGTGTGGGGCCTTTTTGTTGTTTGTTTCAGTGCGTTGTACTGCGATAGATAATGGCTGTCCTCCCAGCTCTCAAAACAGTAAAGCGACATTTTTAGAAGAATTGGCAACAATTTTGAGAGTCTATAGGGTCTTCTGAGAAGATTAAACTAACGGAGTGTCACATGATGTGCTGCATAAGGGGAATTTAGCACTGGTAGGGGTCTGCGGGATTTTAGGCTCTGTATGTAGTGCATTTAGATTTGAGCACTGTTCTTATTTGGTTGTTTCACTAGTTCTAGTTAATTTTAATGTTAAACCCTGTAGGGTTTATTACCCAATGAATACCCCCTAGGAAACCTCCAAACTAAGTGCACATTAAAGCAAGTACTAACACAAAGAGAAAATGCTAAGCTATCAAGCTTTCTGGTGCTTATATAAAAAAAATTAATAGGCCTACATGTTTTTGATGGCCAAATGATATTAATTTTTAGTCTAAAATCAACTGCAACTGAAAGAGCAACTGTCTTGGTACCAGATCAAAAAGAAAAAACTTAGCTTGTCAGTTGTTCTTAAAAATAACTTGGTTGAAAGTTTTACTCAGACATATATCATATTGCAGATAAAATGGGTCACAGCCTCGTTTTGTCTTACAGACATTATTTACCCAAAAATGAAAATGTACTCACCATCATGTCAAACTTGTATGATTTTTTTTCTGGAATACAGAAGAAGATATTTTTAACCATTGTTCTGTGCTGAAAATCCTTTACCTAATTTGGTGTTCTAGGTCAAAAACTGTCAGGCCTTTTAAAGATTGCTTATAAATCTTTCATTATGCTATATTATTACTAAATCACCATTTTTTTCAACTAGTTTTCTGTTTGCACAGATTTTGTATTTCTTTTTGGAACTGATTGATCATAGGCCTCATTGTACCAAGCTTATGCAAAAAAAACCAACAACCTTATTTGTGGATAATTTGGCAGTGATCACTCAAAAACTGCGGTGCATAAGCTCTAGGGTTGTAACGATATACCGGTATGACGGTTTATCACGATTTGAACGTGCACGGTTATCATACCGTAAACATTTGCATATCTACGGTTTTAAAAAAATGAATGAAAAAAAATCTCACCCGCGCACATGTAACTTATTTCCGCTCGGCTGCTTCACTCTGCATTCACTTGGCTGATTACACGCACGTGCAGCGGAGAAAATGACAGAGACAGAGATAATATCTAATCTCCATCCCCGCCGAAAAAAAAGTTAATATCTGCAGTATGGGAATACTTCGGATATTTAAAAAAAAAAACCAACGCGGGGTTGTCCGTGAAGATGGATCCAATTTGCAAAAAATGTGGACGCGAAGTGGCTGCAAAAGCAGGCAATACATCCAACATCTTCGCGGACACCATCCCTCCATGCAGATGAAGGTGTGTCGCATTAATAACAAGTTATAAGTTAAGGCTGTATGATTTCCGTGAAGCAGAGGGAATCCCGGTGCAGTTGTGAACATGGAATTTACAGTATAACGAGGATGTCACATAAAACGTGCAATCTGATGGATAGATAAATCAAAAGTAGATATGATATGTCTGTGAATATTTATGTGCAAAGAGACAGCTATATAAATAATCTGCTTGTTTCTGCATGTCTCTGAGTGGCGCTGTTTTATTTACTACATACTGAAGTACGCATACATGAATGGTGTTTTCAGCATCTAAGATACATAAACATGAACATCAGCAGAGCTGCTCTGAGAGAAAACGTAAATAAACATTTCCTAGTTTTATTTGAGAAAATCGATTTCGAAGTTCGATTTAATTTGAAATTATGACAGAAATATATTAGCATTGTACAATGTACTTCAAAGTTATAATAACAGCAATAATAATATTCTTTATAAAAAATAATTTATTTAAACATTGTTTTCAAGGAATATCATGTTTGTTCATGTTTTAAATATAATGATAAAAATAAAAGGAGTTGTAAATTTTCATTTGATAACATTTTAAAACATTAATTAAAATGTTAAAGTGTGATATAGATATACATAAGGTTTATTTTTTTATTGTTTTTTAAATTTATTTATTTATTTATTCAGAAGGGAAACTTCAATACTTTCATTAAAATGGTTTCAAGTTTGTTGTAATAAAGGATTTGTTAATGCAAATAACTTGTTCTGGTTCTTTTAAGAGTCATTGTTACTGATAAGAATTATTGTTTAATATATACCGTGATAACCGTGAAACCGTGATATTTTCTGAGACGATTATCATACCATGAAAATCTCATACCGTTACAACCCTAATAAGCTCACATCAGTGAGGTCTACAATCAGTCAGGTTCCATAAAGAAACACAAAAACTGTGCTAATTGAAAGAAAACAAACTGATAAAAATATGGAATCCAATATTTGTTAATAATATAGCATAACAAGAAATGTATAAGCAACTTTTTGTAGGCTGGTCATTTTTTGACCGGGAACACCACAAGTGTAACCAGGTGGGGAAAAAATCCCCAAAAGTACAAAAATTAAAAGAAGAAAATGAAAAAGAAAATGAAAAAGACAAAGAAAAAGGTAAGGGTGTGAGCACAGTCAGTAAGTTTTAGTCCCATGCAAAAATCGTCAACGTGCCTAATAATTATGCATGCACTGTATATTTGTGTTCCACAGTAAGAAATACCCTCATTCAGGCTTGGAAAGATATGAGGGTGAATAAATGATGACAGAATATTCATTTTTAGGTAGACTATCCCCTGAAATGTTTTATTTTGATAGGACCAAAAATCACTCATCATTTGATATCCTAATGCAATTAATTAGAGATGAGTGTCATTTATCTATCTGATGTCCCTGTGGTCTTTTTCTTTCGCTTGCTCTCAGATCTGTCATAAATAAGCATGATTACTGTATGTTCAAAGAATCTGAATTTTTCAGAGCTACTTCCTGCCACAAGTGGAAATTGTCACTTTTGGAATAAATTATAGGCATTACTCATGTGTGGTTATGAGAGTGCTGTCTGCCAAATCTCTCTCACCCCCTCTTTCTCGCTCTCAGATAAATGAGAATTTATTCCTCCTCTTTGAGTTCTGGCTTAGACGGAGAGAAAAGCACAGGGTGAGCGGAGCTCACTCGCAGCTCAATGGAAGAAAGAAAGAAACAAATGTGTGCATTTTAATTGTCAATGAATGAATGTAGAGCGGCATCTCAAGGCTTCACAGCAAAAACTCTCTTCATAATTTATTAAATTCACACCATCATGAACACGCACATCAGTGGCCTTTCAAAACATACACAATTAAAATGTGCATTCAAAAATTCTCTAGTCATCAACGATATTGTACATTGAGAGGCTGATAATTTGCTTGGTAATGGGTACAGGACGATTAGACTTTTTTGTCTCTACATTATAATTGCTGTGACTGTGGTTAAGTTCAATGTTTTTGCTTGTATTGCTGTGTATTTTATATACTGTTGAAAGGTTTGTGGTCGAAGTCTCTTATGGTCACCAAGGCTGTATTTATTTGATCAAAAACACAGTAAATGCATTAATATTGTGAAACATTGTTTCACTTTAAAAAAAAAAAACTATTCTATTTAAATATATTTTAACATTTCATTTAGTCCTGTAAAGGCGAAGCTGAATTTTCAGCAGCTGTTACTCCAGTCTTAAGGTTAACATGATGCTTCAGAGCTGCAGCTTAATATTTTTGTGGAAACCATGATACATTTTTTTTTTCAGGTTTATATGATAAATAAAAAATTCAAAAGAACAGCATTTAATAGATTTTTTTGTAACAATATGAAAGGCATCCTTGCTTAATGAATGTTAAATTTCTTTAAAAATGAGAATACATCTTACATACAACAAATGGTTTATTTGAAGTGCAGATTCATTCAGTGTGTATATACGTGTGTGTGTATATATATATATATATATATATATATATATATATATACAGTATATATACACACACACACAATAATACAATGTTATTAGAAAATATTAGTGTTTTTTGCCCATGTATAGGTTATTTAGAATGGTTGCTAAGAGTATTTTGGTGTTGTTGTTTTTTATTACTGGCACAAATTTTATTCTGGTCCCTAGATATAGCTTGGGTCCCTCCTTTAATATAAATCTGTCAGCAACCAAACAAAAATCATAAGCTCAGTTGCTTAGAGAATTAATAGCACCCCTCTCCTCAATAAATGTCATGGTTTGAGATGTCATCCATTTCCATAACATGACTTTTGAAGGACCATTAAATATCTTTTTTTGTGTTTGCTTTCTAGGGTATATAGGAGCAGCCATGCCATTTGGCTGTTTGACTCTGGGAGAGAAGAAGGACTACAACAGTCCTTCAGAGGTCACCGATAAGTATGACCTGGGACAGGTAGTGAAATCGTGAGTACCAATCTATGGTTATGGCTACCTTTTGTTTTGCTCTTGTTTATAGTAGTCTTTTTGTGCAAAATATATGCTCCTAAATTTTCTAATTTTAATATATACTTTTTTTGTATGTGTAAATTAGATTCTAAATCCCAGATTTTCGATGTTGACTGAACAGCACTGTATATGTGTTTTTATCGTCTTCATTAACAGGGAGGAGTTTTGTGAAATCTTCAGGGCAAAGGACAAGAACACACTGAAAATGTACACCTGTAAAAAGTTCCTGAAGAAAGATGGAAGAAAAGTACGAAAAGCAGCCAAAAACGAGATCCTCATCTTGAAAATGTACGTTTTTCGTGCAGGTTATTTATACGATCCACATTTTAGCAAAGAAAGGTGCTTGCAGATGGTGCTCAGTGTTGAAATTTGTGTAACAAGAGTAGCAGAATGCAGTCGACTCTTTACCATGCAAATGATTTTATTTTTGCAAATAGTCATGATTTCTTTTCACTTTCTACTCTGCTTCCTTTCACAGTGTCACAGTTTCTCTCTTGCTTTCTCTCTGTCTCTCCCCGCAGGGTGAAGCATCATAACATCCTCCAGCTGGTAGATGTCTTTGAGACGAGAAAAGAGTACTTCCTCTTTCTGGAGCTGTAAGTGCTTTGAGATTTTCGTATGTGAGAGTGAATAAGAAAGTACAAGAGTATGAATGGATACTTTTTGCATTTATTGTGTTAAGATTTCAAATGGAATCAAAATAAAAATCCTGTTATTATTGACACCCTTAGTTATTTCTTTTCTTCTTCAAGATGGATAGGGATGTGGAATATAGAATATACTATTTTGCCTGTAATAAAGTGGATTATTTATTTATTGAGATTGGGTTGTAGTGGAGACAATATTTTTTTATTCTTCTGTATCTTTATCCTGTTAATATTGGAGAAGTCCAGTCAACAGATTAAGCAAATAAAAAAGTACATCAAAAAATTCAGTGGCCACTGGGGTTTTCAAGCTGCAAATTATTTAAATGTTTCATTTTTTGATGAACTATTTTTTACGTAAAGATGCATTTGCATGTGCTTCTTGATCATTTCTTTCTATAAACTAAAAAGATTTTTGTACAGTCATTATATTACAAGGACAATTTTGACTCTCACATGAATATTTGGCTTGGCTGTTTTTCATGTTTTTTACTTCAGGGCCACTGGAAGGGAGGTGTTCGACTGGATCTTGGACCAGGGCTACTACTCAGAACGTGACACCAGCAATGTGATCCGGCAGGTGCTTGAGGCCGTGGCTTACCTGCACTCTCTTCACATTGTTCACAGAAACCTAAAGGTGACTTGGGGCTTTACTACCATCTAATGGTCTCCACATGGTATTGCACCAGAATGCAACCTCAGACTCAGACTACAACATTTCAGGAGACAGAAGTTGATTAGATACACTAAAGGGTTAATTTATTTCAAAGAAAAATTCATTCTAACAATCATACTATTATCAATGACATGTCTTGCATCTCTTGTTTTTAATACAATTAAAGTGTCTGATTCTTATAAAGGCTTTGCGAGGTAAAGTGTTTGAGGTTTTATTCAACTGATTGCATTTACTGCTATATTTTTTCACCCTGTCAGCTGGAAAATCTGGTCTACTTCAACCGTCTGAAGAACTCCAAAATTGTAATCAGCGATTTTCACCTGGCCAAACTGGAAAATGGTCTTATCAAAGAGCCATGTGGCACACCAGAGTACCTTGGTACGAAAAAGTGTCAAATCTTTCCGATGTAACTGCACCCTATATTGTGAATTACGGTTATTAATATAAATATACTGATAGAATTATAATATATTAGTGTCAATGATGTAAAACTAGTTATACAATAATAATAATATAGAAATAATACGGATAATGAATTAAAAACACACCTCTTTCTTCATTCCTGAATTACATTCAAAAAAAAAATTTTTTACAATCAAAAATGTGTAAAATATTTTTTCAATAATGATTAATATGTGTACACTAAAGTGCATTCAAGGTCTTCAAGGTTGCGCCACTTGAGATTGTAGTCATTACATCATAAATGTTTTGCAAAAAATGTATTAAACCAACATGAATACCAAAATGACATGTCTAAGAAGACTATAATATAATATAGTGTTTTGCATTATATTATATTTAATATTTGGCATTGACTCATAATTCAGGCTTTCCCTTATAGCTCCAGAGGTGGTCGGCAGACAGAGATATGGCAGACCAGTGGACTGCTGGGCCATTGGGGTGATCATGTACATCCTGTGAGTTCATGCGTCGTTATTTTATACATTTCATTCATTGTGTGAGATGGTCCAACATATTCATTTCATTGTGCTTTTGAACCAGATCTTTCTTTATTAGTAGACCCCATAGATGTCTGTTTTGGAGTCATGTTCTTGAGTTCATCAGCATGTACATTCCATTTCCTGTAGTCACATTGCGTGTTAGATCATCATTGCCACTCTGTAAGTGCACAGTATTTCCTGTATCAGTTTCTCTCCCTAATCCATCCTCAAAATCAATTGTTGTTCATATGGTGTTATGGTCCTAATGAACCCCTTGCCCTAGGAAATTTTAATGCTCTGGTCATATTATTATTTTTAACAGACTGTCAGGAAACCCACCTTTTTATGATGAGACAGAAGATGATGATTATGACAATCATGATAAGAACCTGTTCAGGAAAATTCTGTCTGGAGACTACGAGTTTGACTCACCCTATTGGGATGACATCTCAGATTCAGGTACAGTACACAAATCACTGTACAGTAGGTGTGAGATGGATCTGTGGGATTCTGATCAGAACACAAATTCAACTATTCAACAAATTCTTTGCAGCAAAAAGCCTAGTTGCATGTTTAATGGAGGTGGATCAGGACCAAAGACTGACCGCACAGGAAGCCATCAATCATGAGTGGTAAGGAGCCTTTGCCAGTACAGAATCTGCATTTTATAATTTATCTGCAGGTTAATTAAAAATTAACTGCTGTGCATCTTTTTTTTGTTTAGGATATCTGGAAATGCCGCCTCAGACAAGAACATCAAAGATGGTGTTTGTGCTCAGATCGAGAAAAACTTTGCTAAAGCTAAATGGAAGGTAAGGTTTCAAATAAATGAACTTTCTATTAACCAAAGAATCCTAAAATAATGTGTCATGGTTTTCACAAAAATATTCAACATTCATAATAATGAGTAATGTTACTTGGGCACCATATTAGAATTATTTCTGAAGTATTAATTGACACTGAAGACTGGAATGATGACTGCAGAAAAACAGTTATTTTAAATTGTAATAATATTTCACAATATTACTGTTTTTACTGTGTTAAATCTAAATATTAAATTGGCTTGAGTGGAGCCTCAAGCCATTTTTTTAAACATTACAAAATATTTCTACTGTAACCTCATTTGTGCCAAATTTCAATAAGTTGTGGACTAAAATGTATTAATTTATTAATCATTTAAATTCATAATTTAAAAAATAAATTTTTTTGAATCATTTAAAAATATATGTATTATTTTTAGTTAAACGTATTAGATTAAAATATTATTATTATTTGTTATCCAGAAAGCTGTTCGTGTGACCACCATGATGAAGAGACTCAGGGCTCCAGATCAGAGTGACTCTGGAGCCTCTAGTCCTGCAATGGGAGCCTCAGGAGGACCTGTTACCCCCAGCACCACCCCTGTTCCCCTGGCTGCCACACCAGTACCTCCCCGCACCACCCTGGATCACCCTGAGGCCCAAACGCAGGAGGCCTCGGCTCCAACACGGTGTAATGGAGAGATACTGACATCCCAGCAGCTTAGTGGGGAGACTAGGGAGGAATAGAATGACGGATGACATTCGGGTAAATATAGTGGCAAATAGAGCAGCACCTACACACTACATATAAATTCATATTGAAATCTAATGGTGGAGCAAAGTTCAATTGTGTCTAAAAGCTTGATCGCCATTTTACATTTTCATTTGTGCAAAATGCTGTAATCTAGGAAGACTTTAAAAAGTAAATCCCAGTCCCATAGTAGTTTTATCTGTATTTTCTTAAAGGGGTCATATGATGCGATTTCAAGTTTTCCTTTCTCTTTGGAGTGTTACAAGCTGATTGTGCATAGATAAGATCCCTGAAGTTGCAAAGACTAAAGTCTCAAAACCAAAGAGATATTCTTTATCAAAGTTAAGACTCTGCCACACCCCCCTAAAACGGCTCGTTCTAACACGCCCCCAAAATAATGATCTTTAAAAAAGCATCATATGACCCCTTTAAATAGCTTTATCAAAGAAATATTATTTGTTATTCTGAAGTAATACTCCGTCATTTAATTTCCATGGTTAATTCAAACCAATTTAAAATATCCTCATCAAACCTTTGCTACCATCTTTTTAAGGGTATTATACAAAATAAGATCCATTATCCGGATGAAGCTTATTTATTTAGTTCTTAGATTTACTTTAAAACATTTCATTAAAAGTTTATGTGGTTCAAATATTTTCAGTTGTATTTATTGCATACCTAAAAATTGCAAGTGGCAAACTGATATTTCCTTTTTTTTTTCCACATTGCATTTAAAAAACAATACAACCTCAAAATATGAATCTTGAAGCCATTAAATAAGATAATTAACAAACACAAACAAACAAACAAAAGGACAATTAACATATCAGAATATTATATGTCTGCATAAAAAGAATGGTTGGACTTTAATGTAGAATTTCATGTATCCAGAAGAGCCCAGCTGCTGAATTACAATTCATATTAACATTTTGTGTCATAATATTGGCTAACCAGCAACTAAAACGGCTGTTGTACTTCATTGATGTAAAAGTCATTATGTTTTTGTCAATACTATCATCATATCAATATAATATTACTCAGTGTTTTTGTACTGCTGAATCATGTTTCTTTTTCTTTTGCTGTACAATCTTACAAGAAATTATGTAGCTCTTTTTATTCAATCTGTCCTTATATCCTCATTCTAATGAGCACTGCATTTTATATAGAATACATCTGTTTTCATTAAGTCTGATACGTTGAGGCCTAAGGGTTTCCAAATGTTCTGTTGATGTGCAGTACAAACAAAGCAATATGAATATTGCTGTAATACTGTGAAACTGCTATACAGGTGATAAGATGTTCCTGCCATATTTCATACAGGTAGCCAAGCAATTTGCTCTCGATGGTTGTTTGCGTATTCGATCTTATAGCTGTATATAATGTTCAGTTATTGTATTCTGCCTAAAACCTAGACCTTATTTTTACTGTCCATGTGGAGAGAGAGGAATCAAAATGTCCTTGAACTGCAAATCCTGCTGTAGCTCATGTCCATTATGGCATAGTTATTTGTTGTTTATTGTTTGTTTTAACTGATTGTCTTTGGCATGGTCACATGTTTATTTTTAAGCATTTGCTAAATATACTCCCCATTGTATATAGCTTCACTGAGTTTTATCTGGTAGTATTATCTCAGTAATGTAAAAGGAACTATACAGACGTGTATTTTGACCTCTGTGTGCATTAGTTTGACCTCAACTGAAAACCATAATTTTCTCCTGTTTAGCCTGTGTTTTCCTCTTTATGCACTGACGGCAGGCTCTGTAAACACTGAAATATATTTTCTGAGAAAAGTTTTCATAGAAGACAGAGCAGAAAAACAAATGATTGTGCAAATTCAGAGTAAAATGTGTGATTCATCATAGTCATGTATCAGCTCAGCCTAATGTGTTTGTCACTGTTTGTGGCTTCTGTATTTTGTTACTCGATATGCAGAATAAATGTTTTTGGACAGTGTATGTTTCCATGGTGTTTCTTATTTCTGGTCTAGTACTAAATTTAAACAACATTTTAACATTTAAACAAGTCCTCCTTATCTATATGCCTCCTGAATAACTGCAATTGCTATGTTTACAGTGAATGTGTATTGGCTTGACGCATTATGGCTGCAGTAAAAATCCATATTACATGTAATACTTTTATTTATAATACATTTATAATATTTTTGACAGATATTTTAATTACATTTAGTCTTTAATATGGTAACTTAACAAATGTTTGTTTACTGAATTGTAAAACTTCAACTCCCATAAGCCCTCATTCACCGGAAACGGAGCATGTACTTTTCCGCCTCTTCTTGTCGGGAAACCCAGAAAAAAAGAACCTGCGAATAGATCTCTACAAGCTAGGTGAGACGTCTTCAAACGGCTTTATAGACATTAAATTGGAGAAACATGATACTGTTATTTGTAGCGTTTTGTAAAATCAAGATTAACGAAAAAACGTTTACTTCGTCCATTGATATTGGGAAAATGTCTTGATTGAAAGCTAAAGTTAGCACGTTAGCCTTCTTTTATGAGGGCAGGTTTATGAGATGAATAAAGGTTTATTAACCTTGCCTTCTTTTTAATAAATATCTGAGTACTCAAAAAAAGTAGTTGGAAATGATTATCATGTGTATCACTTTCACACAACGGTGTATTTGACATGTAAGGTTAGTTTGATTTCATCACATTTATATACTGACTAGCCAAACGCAAACGTATTGTGTTAGCATGATGCTTTAACAACGTACTTGCTTTTCAGTCTGAAACTGACAGTTCCAATGTTGTGACATTATATTAAACGATTTCATTAGCCCTCATCGTGTCGTTATGCAAATGTGAAATAGCAGTTCATTTGATGGCGTTTACCTCTATAACCTGTAATGGTTAATGATATGTGTAATGGCTTCGAAATATTTTTTCGAATAAGGCTTTAAAACCGGAAAGTTTAGCTACATTACATTAGAACAGATAAATTAATTGATCTTTAATGATAAGGTCTTTATTTATTTCTCAAGTGGAACGACGTTCTGCACTCGAAACTCGTGCTAAGGGAGAGTTTTTAAGGAGAGGAGGGAACAATGTGGAACGGTTCAAGACCTGGACCACGAGGAGGAATGCCCTTTCGGTAAGAGGTCTTAAATGAAGTACATTTCTAAGACTACATTCTTCATCAGACACATAGAATATGTCATCATTTTACTGTGTTCCTAAGGGTCTCTTATTTAGAGTGCTGTCATACTGTGGGACATGCAACCTAACATTTCTGTCAGAACTTCGTCAAAAATAGATCATATCTAGCTATAGATAAATTAATCGAACCTGTCATCCTTTCTGTCAATGTGCATTTCACATAAAAAAAATAAACAATTTTGCAGATTCTTGTGTGTTCCAGGATGTAATAAGAATAAATTTACAAAGAAGTGTAAAATGTATACACAATTATAATTGATGTAATATATTTTATGTGTACTGGTCCCAAAACATATTTAAACATTTTTAACCCACATTAATCAGTGTGGATATAGTGGATATATACTAGTAGACAAAATATCAAACCAAGTGACTTTTATTTTCAAGAAATATATCTCAAGCACATTTTTCAAGCAAAATGTCTTGCAGAAGCACTTTATTAGGTTTTATTTTAAAACTTGCAATGAACCTTTGGATAGTCTGGGCCGCGAAGGATGCATTCGTTTTATCTTTTATGACCCACATTTCAAGGCGGCATTTGAAAGAGTAATCAACTTTGTCACGCTGCTGTGACACATTCTTGGAATGCAGTCTTCGAAGGATGCAGCCTCTGAATTGGGACACAGCTTGTATGCTTTTTAAAAAGTAAATAGATTGCTCATTTGCAGTAATGCTTCTGATTTTATTACAGTGGGGAACCTCGTGGAGGCATGTTTGAAGGCAGAGATGGCCCAAGACCTGACTTCAGAGGTCAGGATGGCATGAATTTGGACAGGTCACCCATGGATATGAGGCGGTTCGACTGCCCACCTGATATGAGAGGACGAGACATGGGTCTTCATGACAGAGGAAGAGAGCCTCCCCGGGATTTTTTCAGACCTGGAGATGAAATGGACATGAATTTTCAAAGGCGCTTTGAAATGGATCAGAGAAACAACCTTCAGAATTCTCCAGGTTTTATGGGTCAGTCTAGGCCATCGATGGATATGGGTGGCAGAGATATGCAGAGTGGTAATATGAGAGGTCCAGATGATGGATTCATGAATATGAGGGAGAGGGATAGATTCCAGATGGATATGCCTGGGCTTCCTCCCATGGACATCAGAAGGAGACTTGCCATGGTGGCAATGGGTGGAAATGGAGATCTTGGGGATATGAGAGACAGGGAGAGGCCACGGATGGGAGGCATTGATGGGTTCAACATGGACATGCCTCCCAGAGACAGACCAATGATGGATTTTGACAGACGAGGTGTCACCCCTCCACTTAATCCAAGAGGAAGGTTTGAATCTGATATGGATCTGAGAAACCGCATGGGGTCCTCCAATGATTTTAGAGACCAGCCTGCTCAGATGTTTCGAGACAATGAAGGCGTCCCCATGGATATCAGAGGAAGACCTGATATGCCTTTAGGTCGTGGTGGCCCAGAACCCATGATCAGACCCGACGAGATGACCCTCAGAGACAGAGAATTCCCAGAGCCGATGGACAGTCCAATGGGCTTCAGAGGGAGAGAAAGTGAAACGCTCTCAGACGAGTGGCGCAAACATGGCATGAGAGACCGAGAATCTCTTCCACCAATGATGGGCAGAACGCCACCACTTTTCCAGAGAGAGCTGCAAGACAAGTTCTTCTCTAACCGTGGAAAAGATGTAGACTTTGGAGAACGTCCCCAGTTCAAAGACAGAGACCGAGACGGGTTTCTAGGAAAAGACGGCACAGGCTTTAATCGATCAGAAAGAGTCTCCAAACACCAAAACTGGGAGAAAAATATTCCTAGTGATTTTCCAGGCAGAGATCCAACTCAGAAGCCCCCTCTTCTTCCACTGGATCCTCCTCTAAATGCCCAAAGTAGAGATGGAGATAAACCCTGGCCTGGTGACAGAGATGAAAAGCCTGAAAGAACTGCACCTGCAGGAAGTAGACCGCCATATTTCCAAGACAAAAACCAGCCAAATCAAGAGCATCATTTCGCAAGTGATCGAGTGCCCTTTAAGGCTTCCAGTGACATGGCTTTAGATCAGGGATCACAGAG